TTGTCAGTGTCAAAGTTGGAAAGGCGTAGTGCAAGCATCCTTGTTCTTTTTAGACAATTTTCAGTATCTCTAATCTTGGTATCCATCTGAACTTCCTAAAGGCATTAGAGTGTGTGGATTGGCCATGATGTTTCTCATTTTTTGTTTCAGTTGGTGCTTAGCATCTACATGAGGCAATTGAGTGAGATCATCTTTTGGCATATAGTCATGTGCCTTGGTGTATAACTACATGACCACAAAAATATCTTTGGACAATGTTGGCTCCTTTGACTAAGAAACAGAGGTGAACACTGCTGTTCATGAGTTGGACATGAACTGGATTGGATAGAACCTTTACTTTTATCTCTCAGTTTGCTTGAAAAATAAATTCCAAAACAACTGCTGTTTTAACAATGAAGTGATTGCAGCCCTACCCCAGAGGTGGTATTCAGCTGGTTCACATCGGTTTGCGTGAACCATTTGCAGAAATTGGACCAAGGTCTCTGAACCGGTAGTGATGGCCGGCTGGCCACACCCCCGAACTGGTCCCCTGGTCACCACTCACTCGCCCCACCCGCCATGCTTGTTGCCATGTTCTTTGTGCATGTGCAAGTCCAATGGGATGCGCATGCATAAAGAACATGGCAGTGACGGCAGCAGCTTTTTCCGTGACTCCAGTACTTTTTGGCTTTGTGGCTGCAGCGGCTGGCTGGGGGCTGCTGAAAACTCTGGTCAGCTTGCCTTCTGGACTCTGGACCAGCCACCGTGGAAGGTAAGCAGCCTGAACAAAGAGGTGGTGGTGTGAGAGGAAGCAGGACTAGGGCCGGGGCTGCTAAAGGAGGGAAAACAGGGGCGGCTCGTAAAGGGAGGGTGGGGATAGATAGGTGGAAATTCCAAAAATTTTCCTACCTTGTCCTGTGGGCGTGGCTAGGTGGGGGGTCATGTGACTGAGTGGGCATGGGCGTGAGTGACATCAAGTTGGCCACACCCTCTCAGTCACATTCCTCCCCCACCTAGCCATGCCCACCGAACTGGTAGCAAAACTTTTTGAAACCCACCACTGCCCTACTCCCTTAGCTAAATGGCTCATAAGCTATTCTGAAGCACCAACTCTTTACTTGCAGACTGCTGCTGTATGGAGTGTCTTGTGGGGGTGATTTAGGACTCTCCGTGATCCAGGAGAGTCATATAAACTAAAGGAATGCCAGCTTCTTTTGTTATTAAGTGGAAAAAGCCACAACCCAGCAAAAATCCCTTCATGAAACTTCAGGGAGCCTTCTCCGAGTTTGTCATCACTTGGCCATCTTCACCAGAAGTCTGAATGGGGAGGAATAGACTTAGGTTCAGTCCTAGAAACACCCATTGACTGAGATATTTGGACTCTATTGTCCCAGATATTTTGTTAGTCCTGAATAGGATTCTATTTCCATATTTTGGACTGGCGAACAGTTTATACTTGCTATTTTGTTTTAAAATATTTTCAATATTGTGTATCACTAAGAGTTACTATGAAAGTGAGTCACCTTAGCAATGTAATGCAATGCAGTGGTGGGTTTCAAAATTTTTTACTACCAGTTCTGTGGGCGTGGCATGGCTTGGTGGGCATGGCTTGGTAGGCGTGGCAGAGGAAAGATACTGTAAAAACTCCATTCCCACCTCTCTCCAGGGGAAGGTTACTGCAAAATCCCCATTTCCTCCCGATCAGCTGGGATTTGGGAGGCAGAGAATAGATGGGGGCGGGTCCAGTCAGAATTTTTACTACCGGTTCTCTGAACTACTCAAAATTTCCTCCTTATCAGCAGGGACTTGGGAGGCAAGTCCCAACTACTCAAAATTTCTGCTACCGGTTCTCCAAAACTGTTCAGAACCTGCTGAAACCCACCTCTGATGTAATGTAATGTAATGTAATGTAATGTAATGTAATGTAATGTAATGTAATGTAAAAATATTGACTCACAAATAAATAAATATTGACTCAGACTGCCCAAGGAGCTGCTGATTCAGTTCTACAGAGGAATGATTGAGTCTGTCATCTGCACCTCTATAACTGTCTGGTTTGGCTCTGCAACACAACAAGACAGACACAGACTTCAATGGATAATTAGAACTGCAGAAAAAACAATGGCTACCAACCTGCCTTCCATTGAGGACCTGTATACTGCATGAGTCAAAAAGAGGGCTGTGAAAATATCTACAGACCCCTCACATCCTAGACATATATTGTTTCAACTTCTACCCTCAAAACAACATTACAGAACATTGCACACCAGACAACTAGACAACTAGACATAGTTTTTTCCCACATGCCATCACTCTGCCAAAAAAGCTAATTCCCACAACACTATCGAACTATTACTAAGACTGTATTACTATTATTCTTCTCATCCTTCCTATTACCTATCTCCTCTTACTTATGACTATAACCTTGTTGTTTGTATCTTTATGATTTACTAGCTGTACCCGGCCACGCGTTGCTGTGGCCCAGTCTTGTGGGTATACAATATTTTGTGACCGAGTGCCAATAATATCCCTCTGTAGGTCAGGTCATGCCTACTTTGCCCCCGTCCCAGTTTGCCGCGGGCGTAAGACCTGGTTTCCCAGCTTGCCGGTATAACTGCCTTCACCTTTGCAGCTCTCCACACCACAGGCAGCATTGGGGTCCCTGCCAAAGGTACGGCATACTCCGTTAGACAGGAGGACGCTTGGTGGCAGTTGACATTTCCTGCGATTTTGTTTGTGGGTTTGGTGGCGGCAGCGCTGAGGGGGAAAAACCCGGCTCGCGCCTGCCATTGTGGTGCTGCGACGTTAAAGTCCAAAAATATAGTATAGTGTGTGTTGCTTTTACGTCCAACAGATAGTGCTGTTTTTCAAAAAATCATGTTTTTACCTGTCACAGGTGTGACATCTATATAATATATATATATAAAAACACGTGTGTATTCGAATACAACATTGTGTCAAAATTTCAAAGCAATCGGTGAAGAACTTTCAGAGATTTACGATTTTGAACAAACATTTACATTTTTATTTATATAGATATTGTTTTATTTAGTTTCCTAGTATAAATTGATTGCTTATGTAGTATCCTATGACTATCACTAAGTAACAACTCCTCCTCCTCCTCCTCCTCCTCCTCCTCCTCCTCCTCCTCTTTCTTTTTACTTATTCATCTATTAATCTATTTGTCACCCATCTTGTTTCGAAGTAACTCTGGGCAGTTTACAGCATAAAAAACATTAAAATCCCCCCAATATAACTATACATAACCCAATAAAATGACAACACAGTCAAAATAAAACCATTGTCATACAATGGAGAAGGAGGGAGCCAGATGCAGTGAAAGAGGAGAGAGGGAGGGGTTTATCATCATCTTCTTCTTCATCATCATCATCATCATCATCACACAGCAAGGCTTAATGAGTCTTATTTAATTTCAGTACAATTTTTTTTAATGATCCCCACCACTGAGGGCTCTGTAAAGCAGACAATTGTAGCTTGGGAGATGATGCTGATGGACTGAAGAACCTAAGACCGTGATGGCGAACCTATGGCACACGTGCCACAGGTGGCACAATGAGCCCTCTCCGCGGGCACGTGAGCAGTCACTCTAGCTCAGCTCCACTGCACATGTGCATGTACCTCCTGCTAGACAGCTGAATTTTGGGTCTCTGCTGCACATGAGAGGGTGCGGGGCACATGTGGGAGATGCGCATGCATGCGTGGGTGGGCAGGGTGCACACAGGGGGTTGCATGAGCATTGCATTATGGGTTATTTATTTATTTATTTATTTATTAGATTTTATACCGCCCCCTCTCCCAAAGGACTCGGGCGGTGAACAGCCAAAAATTAAAAAACATACAATATAAACAATTAAAATACGTTTAAAACAGAATTAAATCTAAAATGGCTCCCCAATTTAAAACGCCTTACCCATACCCCTATAAATAAGACATACCCCTATTATACCCCTATTATAAGTGCAGGAAGGCCTACTAGGCCCAAAATGGTGCACAGGGGGTGAAGCGCAGCCCCCCGCAGCCCATTTTTGTTCCCAGGAAATTGCAGGGAGGCCTACTAGGGCCAAAACGGGGTGTGGGGGGAGTGCAGGGGGTCTGTGAACATGCATCGGGGGCACAGGGGGTGCACGTGCAGAGGGGCACATTCAGTGGTGGGTTCCACCCGGTTCCGCCGAGCCGGTAGCGGTGACGATATGACATCACCGACATCACCGAACCAGTTCTCTTTGTTCGGGAGCTGCCCGCCACCACATTATTCTTATTCTTATCTTTTATTTGGCCCCGCCCCCAATCTATTTGCTGCCTCCCGAGCCCCAGCTGATCGGCTAGAAGGAAAAAAAAACTGTTTAAACTCTTGCCACGGGGCTTCAAAGGGCAGCCCTATAGCTGATCAGTGTTAAAAGGCAGTGTGGTGGTAGACCGGTGCCTCCAAAAACAAATGAGTAGACCGGTGCCTCCAAAAACAAATGGGTAGACCGGTACAGCTCTGCAAGCAGTTAAAAGCCTGGTAGACCAGTACCTCTGCTAAACCCTAAAGAATTGTCACATGACCATCAAACCACGCCCACAAAATAAGCCACGCCCACCAAACCTAAGGAATCTGGTTACCTCACTTTTCTTTAATCTTAAGTGTCATATCCTGGCAAAGCCATCTGTTTCTAACCTAATCTGTCAGTTTTCCTTATGGGAAATTAGAAGATTTATCTCTGGGGATTGAATCCCAGGAATAATATCATTAGCCATGTACAGCACCATTTACAAGAAAGATTTTAAATAATGAGAATTGTTTCTCTCATACTCTAAACTCTGCTCTTCATGTCTGTATGATGTTCTCTGTTTCCTTTCCAGGTGTGATGGTCAGAAAATTCTCTCGGCAATTTTGCCTAGGAGAGAGAGAGATTTAAAGTTACTCAAAAAAAGGGGGGAAATAAAAGTGATAGATCAAGAAATGGCAATGCAGAAATTTAGCTAAATCTTCAGGATCAAGAGAGTTTGGGGGGGGATCTAGGAAATTTAATTAATAGCCTTGAATTCTTGGGATTTTTTTTTAAAGAAATGATAGATCTGTACCTTGAATTTACATTCTGCTTGCATTTTTGATGGATTCGTGGACTAGAATGTGAGTATCTGTTTTTACATTATGTTCTCAGATAACTAAGGTAAAACTGAACATAAAATGAATCACGAAGAATGTCTCCCCCATCTATTGTTCTATCTATAGTCAATCTGTCTGTCTGTCCGTCTCTGTCTGTCTGTCTCCGTCCATCCATCAGTCTGTCTGTCTGTCTATATCTATCTATCTATCTATCTATCTATCTATCTATCTATCTATCTATCTATCTATCTATCATCTGTCTGTGTCTGTCTGTCTGTCTGTCTCTCTCTTTCTCTTTCTCTGTCTCCAATCTCATCTATCTATCTGTCTATGTCTGTCTGTCTATCTATCATCTATCTATATCTAATCTCTCTCATCTGTCTGTCTGTCTGTCTATCTGTCTATCTATCTATCTATCATCTATCTATCTATCATCTATCTATTTATCTATCTAATCCCTAATCTGTCTTTTTGTGTCAGTCAGTCAATCTATCTAATCTAATATAATCTAATATAATCTCTAATCTGTCTGTCTATCTATCTATCTATTTATCTTCTAATTATCTCTCTTCTGTCTGTCTCTCTCTGTCTGACTGACTATCTATCTATCTATCTATCTATCTATCTATCTATCTATCTATCTATCATATCTATCTATCTATCTATCTATCTATCTATCTATCTATCTATCTATCAATCATTTAATTATCTCTCATCTGTCTGCCTGTCTGTCTGTCTCTCTTTCTATTGTTCTATCATTCTATCTATCGTTCTATCTATCATCTATCAAATCCAATCTCTGTCTAAATCATCTTATCTAGTTATTTGCACCTCTCTTATTGGTAGATACATCATATATAATGTTGGTTTTTCTCACTTCTTCTCCTCTCACCTGTGATTGTAATGTCACAATTACAATTCACAGCTTTTCTCATCTTTGCAGCATATGAAACAATTTCTGTTTCAGAAGGTATCTGAATATCCGACGTTTATCAGCCAGGTTTTACCGCAATTGAAATGTATTTATTTAATCATATTTGTAGCCCAGCTTTCCTCCAAGACATCAAAACTGTAAAAATCCTTTTCTAGTTTTCACCATCTGAGGTTAATAGAAATCTGGGTATCCTTAGTCCTATTCTAACACCTTAATTAGGACAATTCTCTCTCTCTTTCTTAAGTTACTTATACCTTATTGTTTTGAAAAGATGGAATACTTGTTTCGTATTTTGGCATTCAGAATCCTTTCTTGAGTAGAGTAGAACTCGTAAGAGATAAAAAGAACTATATACCACCAAATCCCATGATTTAAAATCCTTCATGGCCATCTTCAGAATTTCTTATGGAACTGAATCCATCTGAAGTCGATTTCTAATGATACTCAAAGAAGTCTAGAAACCTCCATGAAGTCAATTCAGTGCTCCAATAAGTGTTTTTCTCATCTTCAGGTCAAGCAGTTGTAGACCTCCTAGATCAATGCTGAATTCCTTCACACCTTTGAGATCAATATAAGATGTCATGGATGTGAAAGCTAGGCTCAATTTATCTGAGAGATATTTTCAGATTTTCTACTTCAATTAACAAAAGTAAGCATTTTTTTTAAAAAAAAAATACTTCCAATAAATAGAACAATTAATCAGTGGAACAACTTGCCTCCAGAAATTGTGAATGCTCCAACATTGGAAGTTTTTAAGAAGATGTTGGATAACCATTTGTCTGAAGTGGTGGAGGGTTTCCTGCCTAAGCAGGGCGTTGGACTAGAAGACCTCCAAGGTCCCTTCCAACTCTGTTATTCTATTCTATTCTATTCTATTCTATTCTATTCTATTCTATTCTATTCTATTCTATTCTATTCTATTCTATTCTATTCTATTCAAAATGTGCTTTTGGAAATGTGTTTTCTTGCCACTTTCATAAATGATTGCTTCTAATCATTTCCTATGCAGTCTTTCTCCCCTTCTGGATTTCTTTGTCTTCGTGATAAATAGGAGGCGATGGATGTTTACTCCCCTAAGCAAAATGTTTAACAATAAAGTTATATGGGTCATAGTGTTTTATGGATCTGAGATGATTTTGAAAAACAGTCTGCCTGTTTATCTTATAAGCATAGTCAGCATTCAGCTATGGAGCCAGAAGTTAGGCAAATTTTATCAGCTGAGTTCTTGGAACTTTCTGAACTTGCTTATTTGCTTGCAAACATTTTTTTTTAAAAAAAATATTTTAATCAACATAAGTGTTTAATGAACATTGCATTGTCTGAGTCATTTTAATTATACAATATATAATAATGCTAATAAATAACAAAATAATTATATTTTAAATAATAAAATAATAAAAAAATAATAAAAACTTGGTTGATACTTAGGACATTGGCAGCAACCTGTATCAACCATTAGCACTCGTCAATGGTATTTGTGACACATTTTTAAATGATCAGTTGACTGAGTTTCATGTTTAATGAATAAAAGACATAATAATAATAATAATAATAATAATAATAATAATAATAATAATAATCAGCCCTTGAAGCAATACCTAAAGGGCTACCCCTCTATTTAGAAATTCTACATTTACCGGACTTGAACATTTTGACTCTACAAAAAACCACCTTACTTGGAACAGCTTACATCCTCTGACGATACCTTAACAGTTCCTAGGTCCTTGGTTAGGACTCAAGCTGCTGAGCTATTAACCAGCCTCAATAGCTGAGCTATTAACCAGCCTTTAGTGTGAACCTCACTAAAGATTAACCAATAATAATAATAAATATTGCAACCTGGCCATTGAAACTATGGATTATGGATGAAACATGTAACAGTGATATCTATTGTCATTGGGGCACTTGGTACCCTGTCCAAGAATTTTATAAAATACATCAAGAAATTGCAGCTTCCTGCAATAACACCAGTGGAACTGCAAAAAACTGTGCTACTTGGAACATCGTACATCTTAAGCAGGTACTTGGTTGATACCTAGGACCCTGGCAGCAACCCGTATCAACCATTAGCACCAGTCAATGTTATTTGTGATGCATTTTTGAATGTTCAGTTGACTGCGTTTCATGTTTAATGAATAAAGTATATAATAATAATAATAGTAGTAGTAGTAGTATATTATTTATTTATATATACTAATGATCTTTCATTATCTGCTTATACATAGTAATAATCTTTTATCTTCTAATTTCTACTTCTGTTATCTAACCACAGGTAAAACACATCCAATGTTAAGAAGTATTCTGTTTCTTCCTTGTCCTTTATTTTTAGTGTCAATCTATCTATCTCTGCACAGTCTAATATCTTTTTGATTATATTCTCATCTCAACCAATATTGTGCCAATACAGTTCTCGCCACTGTCAACAGTTGTAATATTACGTATGTCTTCCCTTTGTTATAATATAAATAGTATACCCAACAAATATTTCTGGTTTTAAGTCTATGTGTTGCTTTATCATTTTTCCTAAACATGTGTGTATTTTCATCCAGAATCTTTTTGCCTTTGGGCATGTCCACCACATATGATAATAGAACCCGGTATCTGATTGCATTTCCAGCATTTAGTGGACAAGTGTTTGAACATCTTTGCTAATCTTGCCAGTGACAAATGCTTGCAAGACATTTCACGTTTACCCAAGACTTGCAAACTAGGCAACACCATTAGTGCTAGTGAGAGTGGGAATTTCTCCCTGTTTTTGATACAGTATTTGATAACGTGAAGTACTAATATTACTCTATAAAGCTTTAGTACGACCACACCTAGAATACTGCATGCAGTTTTGCTCATCACACTATAAAAAAGATATAGAGACTCTAGAAAGAGTGCAGAGAAGAACAACAAAGATGATTAGGGGACTGGAAGCTAAAACATACAATGAATGGTTGCAGGAACTGGGCATGGCTAGTCTAGTGAAGAGAAGGACCAGGGGAGACATGATAGCAGTCTTCCAATATTTGAGGGGTAACACAGAGAGGAAGGGGTCAAGCTATTTTCCAAAGCACCTGAAGGCCAAACAAAGAATAATAGATGGAAACTGAACAAGGAGAAATTCAACCTAGAAATAAGGATGAATTTCCGGACAGTGAGAACAATCAACCAATGGTACAGCTTGCATTCAGAAGTTGTGGGAGCTTCATCACTGGAAGCTTTCAATAAAAGACTGGATTGCCATCTGTCAAAAATGGTGTAGTGTCTGCTTGGGAGGGGAGCTGGACTAGATGAGCTACAAGGTTCCTTCCAACTCTGTTAATCTGTATCTGTACAGTGCCTACCTTAACAAGGAATAATAGATGGAAACTATTTAAGGAGAGATTCAATCTAGAAATAACGAGAAATTTTCTGACAGTGAGAACAACTAACCATTGGAACAGCTTGTCTTCAGAAGTTGTGGGAGCTTCATCACTGGAAACTTTCAAGCAGACTAGAGTGCCATCTGTTAGAAATGGTGTAGGATCTCCTGCTTGGCTGGAGGGTTGGATTAGATGACAACAAGGTCCCTTCCAAGTTCGTTAATCTGTTAATCTATTTTATCCTATTCCCTGTTGTTCTGTTCTACCCTACCCTACCTACCCTACCCTACCCTACCCTACCCTACCCTACCCTACCCTACCCTACCGTACCCTACTCTGTTATAAGGATTTTGGTTTCTGGGAGAAAAACCCATAGTCATTAGCACTGATGATGTTATCTAATTGGTATTGAAATGTTTGCAAGAAAAGAACCAAGCTCAGAAAGCACCAAGAACATCCAAGTTCAACCCTGAGCTATAGATAAGTTTGGACTATTGGCCAAATGCAGATCTTCCTCAGTCTAATAAGGAAACTTTTTTCTGTTGCAATGTTTTGGAGTTGAATTACTGAAACCTTTGCAAAACACTAACATCTGGGTCATTGTTCTCCTGTACAGCTGCAGAGATCCCAGGGAATGGATCTGAGCAATTGTACCCGAGTGACTGAATTCGTCCTTCTTGGCTTTCCACGCATTTCTGGAATGAACATCACTTTGTTTACAGTCATCCTCCTGCTCTACATTTTGTCCATCTCAGGTAATGGTTTCATCATAATCATCGTAAGAGTTGATCGTCAACTCCAGAAGCCAATGTACTTCTTCCTTAGCAACCTCTCTTTCCTCGAGATATGGTACACCACCGTTTTAGTCCCCAAAATGTTGGCCAATCTGCTGTCATCCAAGACCACCATCTGCTTCTACTGCTGCATGGCGCAATCCTATTTCCACTTTCTCTTGGGCATCACAGAATTTTACATCCTCACGGTCATGTCGTTCGACCGGTATCTGGCCATCTGCCAGCCGTTAAGATACCCCACCATCATGACTACCGGTGTTTGCTTTCAGCTCGCCTTGGCTGCGTGGTTCGGGGGCTTCTGTACCATCCTTCTCCAGACCGTGTTGGTGGTGAGACTGCCTTTCTGCCATTCCAACGTGGTCAACCATTTTTATTGTGACATTGGGCCCTTGTTGAAAATCTCCGGGGGTCATACCAATCTTATCGAAGCCCTGGGCTTCCTGATTTCGGTAGCTGTCATCTTGACGTCCCTGCTCCTGAATGTGATTTCTTACACCTTCATCATTTCCGCTATTCTCCGCATCCCGTCGGCCAGCGGAGGGCGGAAAGCTTTCTCCACTTGCGCCTCCCATCTGACGGTGCTCAGCATCTTGTATGGGGCTGTCCTTTTCATCTACCTGAGACCTTCTGCGGCACGTTCCTCATTCAACCTTAACAAGGCCGTCTCCATGCTGAACACAGTCATAGCCCCTGTGCTCAACCCTTTCATCTACACCATCAGAAACAACGACGTCAAAACGGCATTGAGGAAGTTGTTGCGATCATCGGAGGGCAAATGAACTTCCCCTCCATTGTAAATGCCTGGTTGCGATGCAAAAGATTTGAAAGGGAGGCGCCGACGGCGGGAACAGCCTAATTTTAAATGTATTTTATTTCGAAATAATGCCATTTGAAATCTGTACCTTTTTATAATGTTGGCTGATGGAGTTTGCTGAGAAAACTGTTGGATGAAGAATCCAGTAAACAGTATCAACACCACCTGGGTTTAAGATCCTTCCTTCCTTCCTTCCTTCCTTCCTTCCTTCCTTCCTTCCTTCCTTCCTTCCTTCCTTCCCTCCCTCCCTCCCTTACTTTCCTTACTTTCCTTACTTTCCTTTCAATTCCCTCCCTCCCTCCCTCCCTTTCCTCTCTCCCTCCTTCCCTCTCTCCATTTTAGGTCAATACTGACTCCTGAAAAGTGCTTGGCAAAAGCTCATTGCTTTCCTCCTAGAGATGAAAGAGAATGACTGGCCCAAGGTCACCCAGCTGATTTTGTGCCTATGACAGAACTAGAACTCACAGTCTCCTGGTCTCTAGCCTGATTCCTTTGCCACTACACCCTTCTGGCTGTCACTTTTTAGATCAGCAAATATTAGCTCATTTTCATGAGCGAACCAGAGATAGAGAAAAGCTAAATCATCCAGAGGGAAGAGTAAGAGAATCAACATCCAAGCCGAGTAAGTCTTACACTTAGGCAAGAAAAACCCAGAGTACACATAGAGACTGGGTGAAACCAGTCTTAATAGCAGCAACTGTGAGAGGGATCTTGGAGTCTTAATGGACAACCAGTTAAATATGAGCCAACAGTGTGCAGCGGCAGCCAAAAAAGCCAATGCAATCCTAAATTGCATTAACAGAGGATACAATCAAGATCAAGTGATGTACTAATACCACTCTATAAAGCCTTAGTAAGATCACACCTAGGATACTGCATCCAGTTTTGGTCACCACACTATAAAAAAGATGTTGAGAGTCTAGAAAGAGTGCAGAGAAGAGCAACCAGGATGATTGAGGCAGTGGTGAAATGTAAAATTTGTTACTACCGGTTCTGTGGGTGTGGCTTGGTGGGGAGGTTACATGACTGGGTGGGCATGGGCAACTTTTTTTTTTTACTTTTTTACTTTAAGAAGTTGCAGAAAAAACAATGCTTTTAAAAGCCTCTGACGATCAGGCAACTCAGCTGGGATTGCCAGAGGCTTTTAAAGGCATTTTTTTTCTACAACCTCTTCAGCTGAACAGGTTGTAGAAAAAATGCTTTTAAAAGCCTCTGACGATCCTAGCTGAGTCGCGCAATCATCAGAGGCTTTTTTTTTTACTTTTAAAAGCATTTTTTTCAGCCGAACAGGTTGTAGAAAAAATGCTTTTAAAAGCCTCTGACGATCCTAGCTGAGTCGCGCAATCATCAGAGGGTTTTTTTTTTTACTTTTAAAAGCATTTTTTTCAGCTGAAGAGGTTGTAGAAAAAAAAATGCCTTATGATTGCGCAGCTCAGCTGGACATGGAGGGGGCAGGGATTTTTGCTACTGCATCGGGCGATCCAGTCCGAACCGGGAGCATTTCACCCCTGATTACTGGACTGGAGATTAAAACATATGAAGAACGATTGCAGGAACTGGGCATGGTTAGTCTAGTGAAGAGAAGGACCAGGGAGACATGATACCAGTCTTCCAATATTTGAGGGGCTGCCACAGAGAGGAAGGATTCCAGCTATTTTCCAAGGCACCCAAAGGCCAGTCAAGGAACAATGGACGGAAACTGATCAAGGAGAGCCTTGATAGTACAGTGGTTTAGTGCACCCTGTCATTAACACAGCTGCCTGCAATTTCTGCTGGTTCGAATCTCTCCAAGGCTCAAGGTTGACTCAGTCTTCCATCCTTTCTAAGGTAGGTGAAATGAGGACCCAGTTTGTGGGGGCAATAAGCTGACTTTGTATAAAATATACAAAAGAATGAAGGCTATTGCTTAACGCATTGTAAGCCGCCCTGAGTCTCCGGAGAAGGGCGGCATATAAATCAATTTTTTTTTTTTAAAAAAAAAGGAGAGATTCAATCTAGAAATAAGGATAAATGTTCTGACAGTGAGAACAATTAATGGAACAGAAGTTGCCTTCAGAAGTTGTGGGAGCTTCATCACTGGAAGCTTTCAAGAAGACACTGGACTGCCATTTGTCAAAAGTGGTGTAGGGTCTGCTTGGGCAGGGGGTTGGACTAGATGACCTACAAGGTCCCTTCCAACTCTTTTAATCTGTATCTAAGTGGAGAGGCTATTTCTGGAAGTGTGAGAAATATTTCTCGGAGGGCTTAAGAAGAATTTTTGTGTTCTGAGGGGAGAAAGAAACATTGCATACCTTAACAAGAAATGAGGTTCTGTAAAAGTACAGTGAGGACATCTTGTGGTTGAAAGAAGTATAACAAGGCAATGTTATAAATAAATAAATAATAAAATGCCATCTCTGAACATGGACTTTCTATTGATACTTCTCATGGTCAATGGGTCCAGTGCAATGATGTTTTTTTAATGGAATCATCGTCAAATTTGTTGTTGTTTGGACTGAATTAAGGAACTAAAATGTCGCATTATTTAACGCAAATCTGACATACCGCAGCTAAATATAAATGAGGTCACCCTATCCATACTTAATAATAATAATAATCAGAATAGAGCTGGAAGGGACCTTGGAGGTCTTCTAGTCCAACCCCCTGCTCAAGCAGGAAACCCTATGCCATTTCAGACAGGTGGCTGTTCAGTCTTTTCTTAAAAACCTCCAGTGATGAAGCACCCACAGTGTCTGGTGGCAAGCTGTTCCACTGATTAATTGTCTTCACTGTTAGGAAGTTTCTCCTTTAATTCCAGGTTGCTTCTCTCCTTGATTAATTTGATTAGTCTCCATCCATTGCTTCTTGTCCTGTCTCCAGGTGCTTAGGCCCCCTCTTCTTTGTGGCGTCCCGTCAAATCCTGGATCTATCATGTTATCCCTGGTCCTTCTTTTCTCTAGACTGGCCATACCCTATTTATTTATTTATTTGGAAATTTATATTGCCACCTCTTTGCACATGACGACTCAAGGCAGTTTATAAGAATATTATATCTATCTATCTATCTATCTATCTATCTATCTATCTATCTATCTATCTATCTATCTATCTATCTATCTAAAGAATTGTCCTAAAGATGCGAGTTCCAGGTATAGTTATAGAAGAGGCGATAGACATCACGATCTCCGGAACGTTTAAAAGTTTTAAAAATTTTATTTTAAAACTTGTGCTAAGCTTTCGTTGGCCCCTACCGACTTCGTCAGAGTATCTTCAATGGTGATTTTATACTCTGACGAAGTCGGTAGGGGCCGACAAAAGCTTAGCACAAGTTTTAAAATAAAAAATTATAAACTTTTAAACGTTCCGGAGATCGTGATATATATATATAGGTCTTTGGTTATTCGGGTCTTCTCCCACGTAAAATTGAAGGTTTCTTGGCGACGTTTTGACGAAGTCTCATTCGTCATCTTCAGGCTGGTGTTCTCGGCTTCGTGCTTCCAGGAGAACGAAGCCGAGAACACCAGCCTGAAGATGACGAATGAGACTTCGTCAAAACGTCGCCAAGAAACCTTCAATTTTACGTGGGAGAAGACCCGAATAACCAAAGACCTACATACAAACACCCGCGAAAACCTGAGAAAACATATATATATATATATATATATATATATATATATATATATATATATATATATATATATATATATATATATATATATATATAACAATATAAAAACAGTAAAACTAATCAAAGAGAGAATAATAAATTAATAAAATACCAATATACTGTTCTGCAACTGTTCTTCATATGTTTTTGTCTCCAGGCCCTTAATCAGGGGTGGGATTCAGCCGGTTAGGATCAGTTCGGGCGAACTAGATGTTGTTGTGGCCCGTCAGCGGCCTGTGCAGTTAGTAGCTGATTCCGACAGCGAGGAGGCTGGTGTGGTGCTGCGCCAGCAGCCTGTGCAGCTGGCGCTCGAGTCAGACAATGAGGAGGCTGGAGAAGATGTGTTACCAGAGGTGGGGATTCAGCCAGGGCCTTCAGAACCTCCAGAAGCTCCCATGAGTGAAGAGGAAGAAGAGGAGGAGCCTCTTCTCAATGCATGAGCGCACAGAGGTGTTAAAAGGCAGGAGTGGCTCCTCAGGAGGAGGTCTCCTTGAGAGCAAGGCTTGGGGCTAATTGGCCACTCCCTAGCCTATTTAAGAAAGGATGATGACTGATGCAATTTGCAGGAAACAACTTCGTTCATATTCCTTCGTGTCTTGATTACAGAAACGTTTGATTCGGCTCTTGTTTCTCTCTTGTCAGTTTTCCTGCAAATTGCTTCTGGGCATTCTGCCAACCACACTAAGATTACGGTTATCTGAAATACTGTGACTCAGAATTGAGTTATTATTCTTTGGATCCTTGTCAGCTGTTAATGAAGTTAAATTAACAGCCCTTGTTCAGAAAAGACTGATTTAAACTGTACTTGTGTTCGAACAACTACTAAGAAAGCTCCTTCCGTCGGGACCTGAAGACTTGGCTGTTCAAGCAAATAGGCTGACTCTGATTCTGGGTTTTATTATTTATTATTTATTAGTTAATTTGATTTAAAATGGGATTTTGTTGTACATGTTTTTAACTTGTGTTCGCCGCCCTGAATCCTTCTGGAGAAGGGCGGCATATAAATACATGAAATAAATAAATAAATAAATAAATTAGTAGTCCTTAATTAGTAAACTAAGGTTTGTACAGACTTTGTGTGTGCTGCGTTCTTTGGGGTCCATAGCTGGGGGAGAACAGATGTTAACTTTAATCTGGTTCGCTGAACTGGTTGTTCCAAGGACTGGCTGACCTGCCCATCTCACCCATTCCCTCCCAGGAATCTCAATGCGGCTTACCTGTTTTGGACGCCAGGTAAGTGCAGGGTCCACACAGAGGCTCTGGGAGGGTGAAAAGTACCCGAAGTACTGGAAGTCCAGAAATGGGCACATTTCCAGCCTCTGAAGGGCCTCTGGTGCCCGGGGGAAGCTGTTTTCGCATTCCTGGAGGGTCCAGGAAAGCCTCCGGAGCCTGGGGAGGGTAAAAATGCACCCCTTGCCATGGTGCAGGAGGCTGAGTAGGCCACACCCCCATAACCACACCCACCCAGCAACCAGGCAGCGAATCGGTTGCTGAAATTTTTCAATCCCACC